TTTGTTGTGCAGCACAATGTGACCGGAAAAGGGCCGTTCGACAACCTTGTGCAGCACCTTTCGGACCCGTGGCACACCACGATTATTCAGACATTCAAGTGATATATATATATGTATTTTTTTTTGCTTAGTATCAACAAGGAACTTTGAGGATTGGAAGATGTAATGTGTTTTTCTTTTCATGTGACTTTTGGAGGTGATGTTTTGGAAATGAGATATGTGGGTTATATTTGTGAACAGAGGGGGGAAAACTTATGTACAGGGAAATTTGAAGAGGGGTTTATCATATGCTTAAGTCCCAATTTGATCCATTGGCAGAAGTGATTGTTCAGATGCTTTGGCAAGAAACATCACAAGGAGAATTAATGAATGATGAGTATTTGATCTTGCATTAGTAGAATATAATTTAGTTTGTCTCTATATATACTTATTCATTTGTATGGTGAATTTCATATTTAGTTTGTCTCTATAGTTACTTATTTGTATGGTAAATTTCATCCTACTCCTATCTATGTGTGGTCTGACGGTTAAAACTTCCGAATTGTGGGAATAGGTTTGAATCTACCCACTATTCTTTTGTGTCCCAAAATCTAGTTTTTTCGCCAACTTGTTGCAAACAAACAATTTTAGATACGACGAAGTTGACTTGTCGAGTGAGTTCAAACTCAAATATTTATTATTTTTGAGTGAACGATACTCCAAAAAGGTCGGGTGTCTACTCAATTCATAATACTTTAAATGGAAGATGCCACGATCTCGTTATAGAACTATTCTGTCAGAGTTTGTAACTGTTAGATCAATTATCTCTGACGGTTACATGATCTAACGGTAAAAAAATCTCAACGGAATGATTTCATAACTAGATCTTAGCATTTCCCATTTAAAACAATCTCAAGACTCAAATGGCCCAAGGAGTTTACACTTAAATGACCCAAAACCCTAATAATTAATTAATTACTAAATAATCCAATAAATTTTTTTTTTTTTGGTACAAATAATCCAATAATATTAAAACGTATCAACTTGTTTACTCCAAACAGCTCGTAAAAAATGTACTAGGTCTAAATAATGTAACATGTGAAAAAATAAACTATCTCCACTTTGGTTCATTTTGAGACATGAGTTTGGACCAAATGTCTTTTCACAAAAAATTTATTTTGTTGATTCATAATTATTATTTCCACTTTATTTAAGAATAACTTAACTTATTATTTAATAAATCATTATTAATTATTTGGTTCCATATCATAAAAATTTGCATTAAAATTTCATATCATATCATAGGCATAATTACGACCTTTAATACTATGAATAAATAAACATTTGTTTTTCATAAAATATGACTGGTCTAAATGATTGATATGAATATATATAGATTAGTTAAAGAAATACTACAATCATGTTACGAAACTATTCCGTCGTGAATTTTAATTATTGGATCATCATGTAGTTAGTATATGATAGATGATTCAATGATTAACTTAATACTCCCGACAAAATAATTCCGTATTGGTAATTCAAGAGTTAAAATTCCGAACGAAATGATTCCGTTTTTCAGATTAGTTATGTGGATAAGAGATTCTCCAGTTCCACATCTATCTGAAGTTCAAACGCTTCTTTTCCCCCATTTCCCCATTTATCTCAAAATGAGTTCAAAATCCTCTAGCAGAAGAAAAAACCAGAGGAACAAGAAAGGCTTCACCTCCTCAAGCCCGACCCGACCCGCCATCCGAACCAGGTCATTCTCCCCGCCGCCTTCCTCTGCCTCACTTGCCGACCGCGAGCTCTCAATAGACGAGCTCTCGCTGTTCCAAGACCTTCGAATCTCGCCCGAAAACCCGAACCCGAGGAGCTTCCCTCACAGCGTGAAGCAGCAGTGCTGGGAGAAGGCGGAGAAAATCAAGGGGCGCGACCCGGAAAGGTGGCGCCGTGACCTGCTGGGCAACATTCTATTCAGGAAGCTCGTCGGTTGCCCCGGTTGCCTCTGCCATGATTACGATCACATTGTTCCTTACTCGAAGGTATTTGTTACTTTTTCTTCTACACTTCATAAGTTGTTCAACTTTTTTTTTTCCCCTCTTTTGGGATTTAGGGTGTAGGAATTGTGTGTTTTGGTTGTTTGGATTGCAGCTTTGTTGGGAATTTTTTGTTTTGTCATGCTGAATATCGGTGCAATTTTGGAAGCATCAGCTGATAATTACACTGTTGGAGATCAGGGGCATTATCATTGAGCCATCAGTGTGTTTTCGCGGCATATTACACGAATTAAGCTCTGGGATTTTTATTAATTGCATAAGAAACTGCGAGATGATTGGCATTTTATTCCCTGAGAACTTGAATTGGTGTCTGAGAATATCACTTTAGGCTACACTTCTAGTATCTTCCCTAGCATTTTTTTCGTTTCTAGTAATGAAGTCCTGAGCTTTTACATATATGTTTATTATTAGGAAATGATGCAGATTATATACTGAATGCTGATGTATTCTTTCATAAGTGGATGTATAATATGGTTGAGAATGAAACATCGGTAGATCATGGAGAAGGTATTGTGATGACATTTAGAGATTATGACAAAAAGAGTGAAAATAGTGACTGGAATTTTCTTTATTCCGCACGTGAATGTTGTAATGTAAAATAAAAAGATTTGATGACAGAAAGAGACTCATTTATGTTGGGCAAGAATTGATTGAATTCAGTTGTTTTAGTTGTCGTTGCTATAAGTTCTATTCGCTGACCATTAGCCTCTGATTAGTCTTCACACGTAAGGAATATGTTAGTTCGAACCCTTACATTATTCCAGAATTACTACAAAATGAAAGGAAAGTAATGCAACTAGGTAGGAACAATCAGCTTGGTACTCCTATTTAGATCGGTATTCTTTTCTCTGTAGCATTTCATGAACTATGGTCGTAAGAATTCTGTGTGTTTGCATTGAAACATACTTCCCGTCTTTATATCAAAATTGTTCTGTAGGGTAAATTAGTTTATCCTGGTGACTGATGGATGCCATTTTCTTTTTTACCATCATTTTTTCTGGGGCATGCTATCTTTCATGGTACTGCTTATGTGAATTCGATAATTTTGTATTTGCAGGGTGGGAAGAGCACATTAGAGAATTGTCAAGTGTTGCAGGTAATCTTTTGCTTTCATAATTTGATTGCAATTTTTTATCCTTTTCATCCTCTTCTTCATTTTCTTTATTTTTCTTCCTCGAGTTTTTTAACCGTTTGCTCTTTTCGATCACTTTTCCGCAACAACTTAATCTTATTGCTAGTAGAGTTATTTTATTTAGCATGAGGGAGGAATTTGGTTCTAGTTGCAGCCTATTTTGTGGTATAAATTTTTGGTGCGAATAAAAAGTTAAGGAATTCAATCTTGCTCTTCAAAATCTGTATCAACCAAGTGACTCCATTTGTTTCTATTGGTATCGAGTTTTAATTATCGTATAGCTCTAGTTAATTTCATCAATATGCTGTTGCCTTCCGAAATCCCTGTCGTGATTGATTACTTGTAACTTTGTCACTTTGACCACTTTCATTTGATTGTATAGACTGGAATGGTGAACGATGAGGCACAAAGTGACACAGAAATAGTTCTAAATAATGGTCTATTAGCTTTTGTCTCACGAATTAACCTTATAAATTTATATGTCGGACATTTATTTTATCCAATTCTTGTCATGGACAATTGAAATACCACAAGGGTCACCGGGTGGGATTGGGAGCCAAGAAAATCATTTGAGTTTTCTTTTTTAAAAAACAATAAAATTCCAAAGTGTCAAACAGTACTTGTTCAGGGATAATATCAGCTTTTACATCAAGTCTGATGGCAGATTTTGCATCACATTCTAGGCAACTGTTAATCGATCCAAGGGAAACCGGACTGAGATGTCCAAAAGTGATCTTATTCAGAAAAGTGCTTACTGTCGGGTGTCAGGTAATTAATTCCCTTCTACATTTTGTTATTATAACATGATGAATATCAATCTCGAACGAAAAAAAAAAAAAGAAACGAGAGATGAATATATTAGAAAATATCAATGCATGGCAACAAATTTACCATTCTCTGGCTCAGGTCGCGATATGGACCTTCTCGAGTTGTCAGCATATGGCAATGTTCGTCATGGCCAGGATTCTGGGGGATGTAAAATTCAGTAATTGGCTTATTCGCCTGCCGGACAGCTGTCATTATGGGTGGAAATTGGTAAGGAGCGAAGTAAATTATAAGATATGTATTCCTGTGACAATCTCAGTTAAATGCATCCACAAATGTTCTCTGAGAGCCACTTGCAACTGAGAAAGAAAAGGAAGCCAAGAAAGATTGAAAAGATAGATAAGAAATCGGTTAGTGTTCGTCTTTCTTGTATCCATGAGTATTTGGAACATGGAATTCCAATATCTTTGCTGAAAGATTGATGTCTTTCTCCGTGTATAAACTTGACAAGAATTCCAAATTTAAGCTACATTGTTGTATCCTCCGTGTTCTATTGTTTGATTTTGCAGTTAACTATTGGGAACCGAAAATCTACCAAATTAAGGGTTTTCATTGAGTGAGAGTTTCGTTGCTAAGTAGACTTTTAATTTCATGTTGCCTATTGTTTCAGTGTTAATGTGTTGTAAATAATGATATTTAACCAAGGCATGGGACTTTAGGTGTATTTGAAGAGCATGTAGCTCACATCACTCAAAATTTAAGGAAATGCTATAATTCCGTTACAGAGGATTTGTAACCGCTAGATAATCATGTAATCGTCGTGGATAGTTGATCTAACGGTTACAAATCTCGACGAAATGAATCCGTAACGAGACCGTAGAATCTCCCCAAAATTTAATTAAATTTGAGTTGCTCTTTTTTTTTTTTTCGGTACAATGAAGGAGGCCGGAGGCCTAAAAGGAAAACTAGGCTAAAACCCTTCGAGGGTACGTCACCCCAATAGTGTCACGCGCAAGCCACATGTCCATCCCTGGGGGAGGAGAGAAAAGTCTGTGAACACCAATCGGGCAAGAGGCCGCAAGGCTCGCCAAAAAATCAGCCGCAAAATTAGCTTCCCTGTGGACATGAACAATCTTAACATCCCATTCTCGCCGAAGCAGACTACCAATGGCCTGCACCATCGCTCCATGAGTTCCAAGAGGAGCGTCCAAGTCCGAGACCATTTTCGTAACACACTGACTGTCCACCTCGACAAGCACTTGTCTATAACCCAAGTCCCAAGCTACCTGCAATCCCTGAAAAAAGCCCCAGAGTTCCGCGCCCGTAATGGTGCAAATGCCAATGTTAAATGCCAAGTCAGAGTTGCTCTTTTTTAACAAGAAAATCAGCACGCCCGCATGGATAGATCCCCGAACACAAAGGCATCACTCATGACTCAACTGCTGAATCTCCAGACAATGATTGTAAATTTGTAATATGTTTAACAATGATTGTTAAATAGACAACAAAATAAAGAAAAGACATACATAACCATCTATGTATAGTTTGGCAGTAAAAAAAAATAAAAAATGTTTAAGTAGACAAAACTGTGGGAAATATTTCAACAAAAACAGATGACAGATCAAAACACCTATACACAAAACTTCCATACTCCAAAATTCACTGCCCTTAAGAAGTGTACACAACGATTGATCCTAATTCACTGCCCTTGAGAAGTGTACACAACAATTGATCCTTGAAGTTCCCGATCCACTTTGAAGTGAGCATGAAAGAACCTTTTCATCTGCGAGTTACACATATAACAACATAAATTAAAATAAATAATTACGACCATAAAACGATAACCGACATTTTCGAACCTCATAAAACTTGTGAGAGACTAGAAACTCCTTCAACGGCTTTTCTTGGGGATCAAATAGAACAATGTGGCTGGGGGGAGTCCAATTTCTCGCAAGTCTAGTCACGAAAGCAAGGGGATCGTGTAAAAATTGGTCCGACTCGTCCAACTTCCCTCTTTCTTCACTGTTCAAAACAAATTTTTACGATTCCTTTTTATTAATTTAAATAAGATCATACAATGATGGGCAATTGCAATGAGATCCAGAAGACACAAGTTTTTATGTTATGTTGTTGTACCTTGGTGTACAATCCAAGAAACGCATAGAGATGTTTCGATGTAGGGTCGAATAGTATGGCGTAGCATGGCAAGGTGTCAAAAAGAGGATACTTTTTACTCTATTCTCTCTAGCCTCCCTCGAGAGATAGTTCATTACATCCTCTGCCCCCCTCTGTTAAAAAAAACCACAAAAAGATACATACTTATTTTTTGGTGAAATTGCATATAAAGGCGCCGCCTTTTGCTATTTGCATTTCAATCACCATCTTTCTATGTTTTTTTTTTCATATCTTGAAGATCGAAGCAGAAATTTAACTTCCGTTAGATTGGAGCTGACTTGGCAGAGACGAAACGTCTACATGGCGGCTCACTTAGTACTAACGAAACGTGTAACGAAAGTTAAATTTATCATTCGATCTGCTGCAAAACATATGAAATGTGGTGATTTAAATGCAAATAGTAAAAACTGGTGATTAAAATGCAAAAACAAGAAAATATGTAAAATAACAAGCAAACATTAACATGCCTGATGAACCATACTCATGTATAGAGCCATCGGGAGATTAGTTACAAGCAGGAAAAAGACCGACATATTCAGTCTGGAATAGCGGTTTTTACGAGAGCTCCAAGTTTGCTTCCTCTTTGATATTCCACGTTGATGTAAATTGGCTAATGGAATCCCTGAGAAAATCAATGCTATGGGTAGCACAGGAAGAACAAACCTGATGATATATTTGGAATATGAAGATAATGAGAATTATTAATGCTCCAAATCCATAAATTTACTTGAAAGAAAAATGAAAGGATAATATAATCAGATGCCATGTACCTGAATTCTTTATGGCCGAGAAGGCTGTATACTCCCAAGACCCATATAATAAGCCCAGAAAGCTTCCACTCTTTGGACATAATAATACCGGCTATAGAAAATGGTATATATGTGAATAGCATGATCGTGAAGCCTTGTGTGATGTACCAATGCCATGCATGAGTTCCATAATAGTCCCCTCCAGAAGAAAGGAAATTGAACTTTACAAAGTTAAGGGGCACCACAACCCACGACCCATAAAGTTGACGATCCAATAAGAGCGGAAAACCAAGCACAAGCCCCCTGATTGTACATGCCGAGTGCAAAATAATTATATTTGTGTTCACAAAATATAAGCCTACAAAAGATAACATATAACTGCTAACGCAAAAGTAGGCAATAACACTATCTTTCAAAAAATTAAAAGTACGGACTACGTGAAAAAAATACTCTCAAGAGATATCAAAAGAAATGCTCTAATATTCACAGACGTGCACGTGAAGTGATAATATAGCTTCATAGTCCATAAGCCACTTTATACTACTACAAATTAATATTTCAAGGTCACAGATAAGATTTTAAAGCATTCAAGCTGGCAATTTTGGTCCAGAAGGAGAGAGTCAGAGGATAACTCCCAGTAAAAATTGTTCAATGAACTAACTAGTGGTAACAGTTTTGCTATGGAGCCATCGGATGGCTCGGCTTATGGAGCAATCCATACTTAATCACCAATAGTGCATTGACACGTATCCTACAATAAATACAATTTAGACATGTGTCACTATATTAAGTGATGGATGGCTCAATAAGAAAACAATCCGATGGCTTCATAGAATTTTTGCTAGTGGTAATCCAAATTCCAAGTGTCCCTAATTAGACATGTATAATCAGTTCGCCATAAATAATACTACACTAATACTAACTAAAATTAGAGAGAAATGGAAACTCTAAAGGAGTTCACAAGCACAACACGTAATTTAACATACTAACCCGACGGGAATAACTTCAACAAGGATGAACTTTAGCTTATCACGTGCCGTAAAGAGTTCTAGAATGCCAATATAAATCCAAGAAATAGCACTTGTCGGCCGAATTGCACATGCCAATGCAGCTACAGCCAGAGCACGTTTTCTCGAAACAGATGCAACTGAACAAGAGGATGGTCTCATGCAAGGCCAGTAGTATAAACTCCCCACGGTAAGAATCGTTTCTAAGCTGTTAGATAAAGTACGAGTGATGCAGAAGAACATGAACCAGTTGGTCAGTTGCGCAAAGAGCTGTCACCAAGTTAAGCACTACAAAATATATCGTTCCAACTCCAGAAAAAGCATCAGGAACTGTGTGAAAGCTCTAAACAAGAATAGATCAGAACATCATGAATAAAATAAAGTGAACTCCAAAAAGAAAGGGAAAAAATCTTTTGCTTAATTCAGAGGTGAACAAACAAGGATACAGCCCAATACGCAACATTGTCACCAAACAATGCCTTTGAGTATTTGTACAAGTAGAGATCACCAATAGCAGAGAATACAGACTGCAGCAAACGTGGGGCCCTTATCTGTGAAAGATCGATGGTGTACGAAAGTGTCACACATGTGTATTGAGAGTTGATCTACAAACAATAACAGTGTAGACGGACTACAAATCACATCAAAGTTGTTCTATCAAAGCATTAAGCCATTTACAAGGCATCATGCTTCATCAGGTGGCAATAAAATGCATAAAAAATCAAGCTTTTCGAAATAAATATCAAATTCTAAGACGAGTAATAAATAACATTGATCGACATTGTTGAAATTAAGATAGAAGAAAACAAGTACCATGAACCAAGAGAGATCCAGATGGGAAAGTGCAAGAACTTTATATAAAGCAGCAAAAAGAGTAGGATGCAAGTAACTCCTTATACCCTTGTTCCATTCCCATGTCAAATGCCCATATCTGAAAATTTAGACCATCAATTTCATTGTTTCTTCATATAAAGTAAGAAACTAAGAATCTAAAAATAACTAGTTACTTTTCGGCTTACCCAAATGCAATTCGATGAGCTACTTCAAGAGCCTGCCAGTGTTCATCCGGGTTGAAATATGTTTGTACAAGCAATGAATTGATTATTCGAGTAACCAAACAAAAGATAAAAATGTTGGATAGAGATGGGTGTGAATTCTCGATGTGAAGGTTCGTGGAGGTGAATTTCTCCACGTCATCAACAGCAGCAGGCAATGGGATTACATGGTTTCTCCTTTGCCTCATCTTCTCCACCTTTGGATTTTTTTTTTTTTTTCCTTTTCGTTATAGTGTTCTTCTTGGTTGCTTGGAAAATGGAATGTACATGGTATGTGGTCGATGATAGACTTTCTAACTTGCAGTTGGTTTCCAAATTTGTAAACCCTTTAAGAGCAATAGAAAGGGCTGCATTTTTTCAGAGTCTGTGTTACAAAACACCAAGCTCATTTGAATAAAACGTGCTAGGCTAATAACCAAATAAAATTATAAGAGAATACATATACGAATTAACATGATTCAGTATATATATATATATTAGTAAATCCATAATATATAAATATAAATATATAACATTACCATTAATATGGAAATGTAGTTTTAGTTAAGCAATATGCTCCCCTTATAAACTTGACATTTATATAACAAAATGATGACACCCAACAAAAAATTATGTCAACTATTGCACAATAAACAAACTTGGCTAACTGGAACCCGAGGACCAACAAGGGTTAGCAATCAATAAGCAGCAAATAAGAAGCAAGAAAACAGGGTGTTGCTAATCAACAAAAATCAGTTTCATCCAAATCAAGGCATCCAAATATCCCAAAAACAAAACCATACCTCAGGAGTCAGAACACACTCAAAACACAGATCATATGAAACTAAAATACTCAAAGAGGGTGAGAAAAAGGGGAGACGGACAAAGAGATATATAGAGTACATTGTCACGGTGGTAGGTGGAGCCACGGTGGTGGAGCAAAGTGAAGGGGGAGGTGCGTTGTGGACCAGCTGGGGTGCGCCGCAGTTTTTTAGGGCTATGTGCCCCGGCGGTTGCTTAGGGCAGGCTATGTGAGTCGAGATGTTCAAATCGCCTCCCCAAATTGATAAAGGAGAGATCAAGTGGAGATGGCTTAGGGCTCGGTAGTTGCGTTGGCTGTATCTCGGAGATGGGATGCTCGCCGGCGGTGTCTCATATCTGGGACTGGGAGTACACTCCGACGGTGGCTGTGGCCACAGTTCGTACGGTGGAAGGGAACTTAGAGAAAAACAAAAATGTGAAGAGGGATATGATGCGTAGCTCAAGGCTGGTGTGTAGGTGGTGGCTCACGGCGGAGGGAAAGATGAGAGTACGACTGTGCGACTGTATTTTCAGGGCTGCGCGCGAATCGTTTTTTAGCGAGTTATTAGATTTGGGCAACATTGTGTATTTAGTGACTTTTTTTGGGGCATATAGAAATGTAATCTTTTTATAGAAAAAATTATTACCCATCTTAATCAAAATAATTTCATATGATTTCAATTTTCATATGAATATGAATGAACATGACGTCCGGTGAAGGAAAAGAGAAGAGACTTATATCACACAATTCAAACCCACTATATTAGACGAGACAATAGTGATGAAAAAATTCGAAACCCTCAAAAGTTGAAAATTTCATATACGTGGTATCCGAGTTTTAGTCATCAAATCAACACACACATACATATGTATAATGTATGCGAATGTATGTATATATATTTTGATGGCTAAAATCTTGTGGGACACTCTTCACGAGTAGGATTGAACTTGCTACAAATATGTTATATCATCATGTTCACACACATAAACACATCAAATGTTGTAAAAATACGTCTTAAACAACTCCATTTGCTCCTCCGGTAACGACACTGCGTACAACAACCCCCCATCGTTCTCCTGGCTCCGCATCACGATCGTAGCCCCCTCGGACGGGGCCTCAGCCGGGCCCACGTGTATCGGCCCGCCCCATCCGAAATCTGCCTCGTAAAATGGTAATTTGGCCCAACCGATCACCGTCAGGTTAGGGAACCCGAACGGGCTACCCGCCCGAGCCCCCATACTAGTTGGGTGCATCTCCAGGTAATCGAGGGCCGACCTCAGATAGGCCTCCTCCACGATTTTCGCCACCGCCTCGCGGACCTTCCCCACGGCAAAACTCAGTGGGCCCGACACGAGCTCGGCCCACGAGGCAACGACCACGGCATTGACAATCACGTTTCCAAAGTATCCCCTCGGTAGCCCTAACCTCGACCGCCCGTCAACCGGGATGTACAACCAGGTCTCCTGACGAGTATCCTCGGGCGGTGGGGGCCCACGAGCCCTGCAGACGGCCTGCCAAGCGTGGGCCGCGAGGGCCACATACGTGCTGTAAGGCACGGGACGGACCCCATCGAACGCGTGATTTAGATTGTTTTCCGGTTGGCACTTGTCCTTCAATTTGTCGAGCTGAGCACGGGTCAGCTTGAAAGCCGAGTACTTCATTGGGGAATGGTTTACGAGTGGAGTTTTTGTTGGTGTGGGAAATTGGAGCTCAGTGTGCCGGTACGTAGGGTTCGGCGGATTGCGCGCGCGGAGGACCGTTCGGTCGAGGAAAGGAGGCATCGAGATGGGTAGGCCACGAGCGAGGTCAGACCACGTGTTGATAAAATGGATGGCTGAGTATCCGTCGGAAAGGTTGTGCTCATATGCAAAACCTAGGCAAACCCCGCCACATTTGAAACGAGTCACCTGCAATATGTTATGACTGAAATAATGTTATTTTAATATAATTTTTTGAGATAATAAACGATATAAAACGATATGTAAGTATAGATTTTGTTGATGTTAAAGTTGACATGATGAATAAAGCCACGAAATCTTGTCACATATGTATTATGTCAAAATTTGTGTCACTCTACATGATTCTACAACAATTAGTATTTCACGATATATAACCACGAAAAATTCTACAAGTACATAATAAATATACATAGAGGAGTACATAACACTCACTTGGAGTGGGATCTCACTCATTGTAAGTGTTATGTACACCCCTATGTAATATTATATACCTATAGCATTTATCTAAACACAACCCTTGAAAATACACCACCTGCACTAGGAACAAGGGGTACGTCGAAATACCCTTCGAATAATCAACTGATGGAGCAAGACCGAGTTTGGGCCTGGGCCCAAACTCGCCCAACTCGTCCATCTCGCCATTGGCCTCAGCCTCCACAAAAAGCACACCCTCGTTGTTGCAAATGATCTCCTTGCGGTCATTCTCGTCCAGCCTTAGCCGGCCCGCAACTGGGTAGAAGTCGACCAGGGCTTGGGCCAGGGACTCCTTGAGCACCTTCGAGTCGAAGAAGTTGGGCCGGCCCGTGAAGCGGTAGAAGTAGAGGGTTCGGGTGTGGAAGCCAGTGGGCATTTGGACATCAAAATTGGAGATCCATAGGTTGGTATTAGGTATGGCTTTATTGGCTTTCACTATAGTTGAGTTTGTCACTTTGATGTGCATTGTTATCAAGTTCTCTCTCTCTCTCTCTCTCTCTCTCTCTCTCTCTCTGATGTAGAGCGTAGTACAATTGGGAGTAATATGAGATGCTCTCTCGTGAAAACAGAACAAACGTGAATTTTTATTTAATCATCATCTGCCTTTCATCGTTCTCAGCCCTTACATAAATAGGAGAAAAGAAATAAAGACTCCTAACAGCATCCTACTACTGCCAAATATTTATTTTCCTAATAAAGTTACCAAATAAAGGAAATAAAAAGTACTAATAAGAGCAATAAATAAGACGACTAAACCCGAAGACGATCATATTTATTTAAATACGCAATGGCGGTCTCGTCTTCATCACTCTCTCTCTCTCTCTCTCTAGAAATATTCTTCGAAATTTTCTCTTAATTTGTACATGGCTCTCTTTCTTTTAATAATGCATATATATAGTGGAGAATGGAGATGGTGTCAAGCTGCCCATATTCGCCATTAATGAAGCTTTAAGTTGACATCCATGCATCACGCGGCTACCTCAGTAATTCAGTTTTTTTTATTGGAAATTGTTGCATGGATAATGTTATATATGTCCACGATAACCTTCACACTTCTTTATTATTATTATTAGGTTCAATAGTTTATTATTATTATTATTATTATTATTATTATTATTATTAGAAAAATGCTAAATGTCACGGATCTAGGATTTTCACTAAGGGGGCCTAAATTTAAATGTTAAATAACATTTAACATTTAAATGTTAAATGTTAGATATTGATATGTGTACCATCAAGTTTTAAAAACATAAAATCTGTATCACCCTCAAACTTTTTTAAGAAAAAAAAATGAGATTTCGTCTTTTTATAATTTAAGTTTAAGATCTATAATTTTATGAGAAAAATAAGTTTTTTTTGTTCAAAATTTGATTTATTATATATTTGTAAATTATTATATATTTTCAAAAATTTATCCAGAAATATAAAATATAAAGATTGTTAGTATACTTTTCAATAAATAAATAATATTATTACTTTAAATTAAAATAACATTGAAATTAAGTTTTAAGTATTTATATATTCTACCTTTTTTTACATTTATATTCATATTGTATAGTATTTTTTTGTATATATATATATATATATAATGTTAAAAAAAAAAATTGTGGGGGGGCCTGGACCTCATCTAGGTCCGTCCCTGACCATAACCACATACGTGCCAATTTAATTTTGTGCGGATGATCGTAAACTCGAGAAGTATTTCAAATTACGAATGTTCATGAAGCTCATTTGCATTTTACCACAAAAAATACTGTAGGTTGCTACTTCAAAAGTCACGTATATTACAAGTTGGAACCAATAATATTTCACCCTCAAATTTTAACAGATTTTCGGTGACATGTCCACGAGTTAGCATACTAGTTTTATAATAAAATATGGCCACCTTACCATAAAAAAGCTGGCATTTGTGTTATTTAATTACCCAATTGATATTGACAAATAAAATTTATTCACACCAACATCAGATGTGTTCTAAAGAAACTTTCATAAAATACACTAATCCAGCTCATTGATTGGTTTCTCATAAGACCCATTTGCAAGCATTTGTTAATTTGTGGATGGTATCATTAACTGATACATGCATTAGGGTGATCTTTTTGGTGCTTTTATGCTTTACAAGTAATAATAATGCATATCTTTCCCTATATATTAATTCAAAACGTGTTGAATTTAAGTCACAAATTTTCACGCTTCGGATGCTGATGTGGCAAAAATTTATACTTCGTGATGTTGTTTTTATATTATTTTTGCTCTGTAGTTAAATTTGATATTAGACATAAATATTTTTTATCATATATTTCTTAAGTCAACACCCGTGTTGTACACGGGTAATGTACTAGTTCTATTTTGATTTAGCAAAAACCATAGTTTTTAGCATCTTTAAAATAATTAATTTACTTAAAACTTTCCCATTTTTGTTGTGTTAATTTTTTTAGCAGGAAATTCAAATGCACTGCCCAAACTTTCTCAACGTTATTTTAATATCACTTCTAATGCTCAGTTACCAAGAAAAATAGTCAAATTGATCTTGAAGATTGCTTAGTCATGTCACTTTGATCTCAGATCTATGTTCCTGTATAAGATTTTTTGAAAACAAAAATATGTATCATATTGAGGTTAGTACGCATATTTCTGTTGAACAGATACATATTATATAATCAAATCACTCAGAAAATAAAAATAAAAATAAAGAAATATTAAATCTTAACGATTTCTGGAAGTCTTAACTTCCGTCAGTCGATGGAGCCATGGAAGGTGAAGGGGAAGTAGGCCCTGTTTGGTTGACGGGCCCGAATCCAAACTTCTGGATAAGCTCGTTAGCGATAAGCTGATTAGCGCTATCCGAAGGATGATATTCGTCCCAAAACACGTACTTACTTCTGTCTCTACACAGTGTTGATGCAGGCGTGCACGTTAGAGCCGGCCTAATAATCCCATACGAGCAACATGGCGAATCAGCATTACTAAATCCTGCATTTCAAAATGAACCAAGTGCTGTAAATTATATAATAGTGGTAATACCATTAAATGGCCATGCCTTTTGAAATGACTCAATTACCCCTACTATCAAAAACTGAAATATTCCCACTAAGTTTGATCTCAAAATGATGGAATGCCATGTTTGGCTCACCATATTGGTTTGGATTCGTGATCAACTCGTTGACAACATCGTACGCATCTCCAAACCTAAAGGTCGCGTTTGGGAGAGTGCTCGACAGTCGACTCACGAGTCGGCTAGATGCATTGTTGAAACTTAAGGCCAAGTTGTTCGTCCTGACCTGGCATTCGCCTGACGAACTCAACACTCTTTGGAGCGGGATGCAACCCATTGGGCCCAGCCCGAATACCATCAGCTCCCGAGCGCCTAAGCTATGCAGCAGCTGCATGTTAAACAAGTGTTTTAAGGTAATTAATAAAAACCCATAAGGTAATTAATAAAAACCCATAGAAGTCGTAAAAAGAACATATCTATTGACATTTACTAGGAATAGACATGACCACGCGCTGAACCGGCGGAAACCGTGGTCAGCAGGCCTTGAACCGAGCCCGTGGTTTGACCCAGATGGTTCTGGGCAACATATATATACTTTGTGAACATTCGGGCAGATTCCGAACCGGAACCAGCAGTTCAGTCCGTTTCTTTTCTTTTCTTTTTTCTGAGTTTTTTTATTTGTTTTAGTGAACTGGGTCGGCATGGAACAGGGCATGGAACTATTTTTTTTT